AAAATGCCTTCAGCCTCTCATCCAACCACTTTATGTCCTCTTTGCTGTCACCCGGTCCACCGGCCCTATTGCTACTTAGCTGTGGATTATGCAGGTGGTAACGATGATGAAACTCACCAATGGCCCCATATCGAAGGGAACGCGATGCATTTCCCCGTCTCCGGGGACATACAGGCAACTTCATACTCGGAATCTTCCGGTGGAAAGTAAAGGTCCGTCTTGGACGGTAGCACGAGAGTCTTGGCTTTGATGCTCTTCATCGCGAATTCAAAGTCTGTCACCTGTAGGTTAGGCAACGATATAACGAGTTGGGTCCGGACGACTAGCTTACCACCGTTATAAGCGTCTTGGTTGGCGACATCGGCAGATTGCCATGTGTCCAGCATTGTCATCATATTCTCGGGATCTTCCAAGTATAGTGAGCCATACTAGTGATGTTAGACATTGGAATGGGACCCGCCTTACCCTTTGACAGCGCCCAGCCCTCCCAGAACTTTACTATAAACTCTTCAAGATCTTTAAAGCCAAAATAAGTCTCGTATAGTTTCTCCCGGTAGAATGCCTGACTGAAACCCCAGCCCGCATACACCCGTGCAAGAGCCTTGAGTCCAATCTCGCGCTCCTTGACAGTCCAGGCGCGGTACTGCGAGGCGGCTGTCGCCTCCCCGTTGCCGATACCGCCCGAGGCGACGCCCTTGGCTGCGAACAGAGCACTCTTCACGCCCTCGAGGAAGACCTTGTTGTGCAAGCTGCATCGTGCAGCACCGCAGAATGGAACTGCGAGGTCCATAAAATCTGGATACTGCGTTATCCATTGGAAAGTCTGAGCCGCACCTGTTTCCGATTATTAGATTCCATTGCACCTGGGACAGTATTGCGATGCTTGCGAGCGAGGAGCAGGAGAGCCAAGGAAGAAACGGCAAAAGACTCACTCATGCTCCAGCCAACGACGGCCTTCAGATGCTTCACCCCCAGTTCCTCCGTCACGAGACGATACTGCGCTGTGACGTTGTCGAGCATGGTGATGCGTGGAAACGGGCTTGGTTCAGGGGTGTTTGACGGGCTCATCGACTGTCCGTTGCCGAAGAGTGCGGGGATGATGATGAAGTACTTCTTCGGGCTCAATGCCATGTCATCGCCTATCAACCACTCATTCTGCGATATCAACCCGCTATACCACGTTGGATAGACGATTGCTGGATTGCTTGGGTCGCCAAAGGACTTGTAGGCGATGTATGCATTGCGCAACGTCGTACCTGACTGTAGAACGAAGTCACCTAAATTGAAGATCTTGAACTCTGCCATGCTGGTATTGTTGCTAGTGCTGTGATACTTGCAGTTCGCTGCTGTTGGCTCTTGATAACCTGTATTCCCATCCGGCGTGGCTCTTTACGCTATTATATGCTAATTCGAGACAGCGCCTGGACTAGACTAGACTAACATTATGCGGAGGCGGGGCCTTGACTAAGAACTATGTCCCGAATCGTGTAATCCGGGAAGAAATCCACCCAGTTTCTAAAACGTTCGACGAGAATGACCAAGAATAGGGTGATAGATTCGCCTAGGGGTGCGTGGAGGTAGCTTGCTACTTCGAAGCGACAGGGCGAGGACTTTGAGTTTTGCTCATACATGTAATCAATGACGGAAATTTGCCGTACATGTGGGCGACTTGACAGCGCACAACTGAAACTACTAATGCGCTCAGTTCGATTCCGGATCGCATGCCTCGAACGTGGAGCACATCTTAGGACGAGTAAAACTTGGAAGTGAGGATTGATGGTGAGGGGTCATGGTAGCTTCATATGAGGTGTGATGGCGGGTTTGGCATCTTGCACCACCACCACCAACGGAGAGCTGACTTGGCCAAACAGCGATCGCCTGGGAATAGCTGCCTGCGGTCCTTGGTCCTCAATGAATCACAAATTCGCATGTGAAGCGCAGTCAATTATTCTCTGATCAACTATCAAAATCGCACAAAGCTTTGATTAGCAGCCCATGCATTACCTTCTGACTGTAATGTTGGTGCAGCTTAACGGTCATTTTTAGGAGTCTTTAAGAAGTTAATCCTAAGCATGGTATATATATATATTCAATTCATTAATTTTGTATACACTTCTTGATTTATGGTTATATGTATTTTGGTGTTGCGACCAGGAAAAAGGCAGTGTTATCCACGGCGTTAATGCTACGAAACAGGAGGTTCAATGCCGCGAAAGATTCGAGATGCATCTTGATGACGGTAATTGATCTTGAGGAGGAGCCCGAAAATATAGGGGAACTTGAGCTAATTATGAAAAACCGAGCTTCGCTTATATGATAGATATGGCATGATTTTAAGATGAATTGCGACCAATCGCTTAGGTAGTCAGTCTCAAAGAACCGTCAACGATTATGGCCGATGGCAAGTCCCGAAGCCACGGTACGGGGAATTAGCTCCGCCCTGATGATAGGCCTAGAACGGTCCGGCCCGGGGGAGTTTCAGCTGGCTCTACACTAGAACCACGCGAGACGATCATGAGCATGGGCATTTAGCTAAATATCATGCCTAACTTGGTTAGCCCACTCATCTCGAATCGCTGTCTGTCTTTGCCTGTCACGAGAGACGCCCTGTAGCTTGAAACTATTGGCTTCTGGCCTCATGAGCGTTGAGGAACTGTGGCGCGCGGCCTGGCCGAGCAATGCTAGAAACGAAATGAAAACAATCCATTTTCAGATCTATCGAAGCTAGTTTGCACCAGACAGGCTAGGCTTCTTCGCACTCTTCCGTATCGTGAACTACTTCAGGCCACATGTTCAGCTGAACGGCCTCAGGCGATTGAGCTATGGCGGATCTGATATCCCTTGGTGAGAGTCGTTCTACTTTAAAAAGGCATGTCGGAACTGGCACGTCGTTGAGCTGCTCATCGATTTCACTGCTCATTACTCATTGACTCATCATAATGGATTCCAACTGTTTGGCCTGCTCATCTACTTACCATCAAGGCAACATCAATAAACGGTTGATCGTCTGCTGTGACGGCACGTTCAGCGGTCTTGACAAGGGCACCGATCAATACTCCAGCAATGTTGCCAGGTTAAGCCGGGTCATTTCCAGAGTGGGCATTACTTCGAAAGGCGAGAAGGTACCTCAGGTCGTGTCAGTAATTCTCGAAGTCATTTCCTTCTTATTCTAGTCATTTTCCAGAGTATAAGCCTCTGTTAGGGCTAGACTCATGTCTCGAGAATTTTGCATGCTCTCGAGACTTTATAGATCTCGCCCAAGAAGGTAATTGCTGACTTCGAATATTGTAGTTACTATCAGTCAGGTGTTGGTACTGGCTCTTTGACCACCGTTAATAAATCACTCCAAGGTGAGGGCTATCCTTCTATCTGGGCACAATGTGTATTAATTTGATATCAGGTGCCACCGGCAAGAGTTTAGAGGAGAATGTTTGCGAAGCATACAATTACCTGGCCAACAACTGGGGCCCAGGGGATGAGATCTTCATTTTCGGATTTTCCCGCGGCGCTTACACTGCTCGATCCCTCGCGGGCTTCATCTGCCAAGTTGGACTCCTGACACCTCTTCTGCTTGATCACTTCTTCGACATTTTTCAAGAATACAAAAAGAGAGGAGATCAAAAATTCGAGGACACGAAGTATGCTAAAGGTGACTTGGAGGCCGGAGAGCTTGGCACTATGCCTCTACGCCATGGTGAGGAAAAGCGGGACTTGGGTACCCGTATTGACTATCTTAAGAAAACAGCCCACCACCACATCACGATCAAGGTGGTTGGGGTATGGGATACAGTCGGCAGTTTGGGTGCGATCAATTGGTTCGGCCAAGCTGGAGACGATATGAATTTCCATACCACCAAGCTCAGTCCTAGTAAGCCCTTCACTCCCCACTGCGGCCGGTTCCCATGCTGACTGGCAAAGAAATCGAGAATGCCTTCCATGCCTTGGCTATCGACGAGACTCGTGGAAACTTCCCCCCTACGCTTTGGTACCTTGACTCGACATGTTGGAATGAGAAAGGCGAGCCCAACGTCAACCTAAAGCAGTGCTGGTTCCCGGGCTATCATGCCGACATAGGAGGACAACGCGAGAAGGGCGAGAGCGACATAAACAGCGTTGACGAAATCACCTTTTCGTGGATGTGCGATCAGCTCTTCGAGCATTTGCAGCTCAGCGAAACTGCCCTGCGGAAATACATCCTCTTGAGGACAGGAAAGGGGCTTGAACTGCACACCACGAACAAGAATATCGCCGCGGCTTGGTCCAAGATCGAATGGAGTGGCGGGGTTCTTGACGACACTAACGGTTGGACAGACCTCTGGTGGATTCCATCTCTCATCTCCACCCGAGCTGCGTCATATAAACGCATCCCGGGCGAAACACCTGCTACTGAAAAAGTTAATAGTAAGAAGAGGAAAATACCCTACGAGTGGTTCAATGAGGAGATCCACCCCAGCGTCCTTCATCGCAGGGAAAATTGCAAAGGATACGTCCCCGCCCCTTTCAAGAAAGGCTCGGACTGGGAATACGTAAAGGCCGCGCCGGGGAACAGGGCTCATTGGGTCAAGAAGAATCGGGATGGCACAAAAATTGTCCTCAATGAGTACGTCATCCCTAAGGATAAGAAATACCAGGCGGGCGCTGGCTACGACTTCTGGCAGGGCAGTCTGGAGCGAACATTTGCTCCCAAGGATGTCCTTGATGCTCAAGATGTAAATACCCAGTAATTATCGATTTGGTCTAGAGCTGATTGATGTATGGCGTTTCATGTTTTGGTTCTATAGAGTTTCTGTCTCTTAAAGTTTTCCTTGGAACTCGATGTATTAAAACCCCCATCAGAGCGTACAGTACCACTGCCCTTTCCAATCAAAGCGTGTCATAATAAATTATTTGATATAACCAGCTACGATACGGACTAATATGATTTGACGTTTTTAAATGTAGCACATCTTAGCTATGTGCAAGTGCGAAGGGGTTTCAACTAGGAAACGAAATATTTATCGCGATTTCGGCCGGACTCGAACCGACAACATCTGGAGAATTGAATAGTTAACCGATATCTAGTGCCCTGGAAATTAGGCCACGGAACCTCTGTTTGAACGATGATGGTGTTTCGTGACAGACAAGTTAGGGATTAGCCAATTGAGGCACAGTCCCCCGCAGAATGGCAGTATTCCATTGATTGAACTGAACGTGATATATTACTCAATAAAGTCTACCCTAATTACCGAATTATCGGGCGGATAGCTGTCCGTCAATGATTAGTTGTGTAGGTGTAGGTCTGATCTCCATGTCCACTACCCTTCCTATCAAAGTCTGCCTTCACTCGATTCTCTTCGGACTCCAAAGAGGGTACTTCATGCTGTTGAACAACTTACCCTTGAAGAACCGAAACAGACCGAGCTAGAGGTGAGAGCCAGGAGTCTGGATATCTTGAAGGCCACTTATGAACCTCATCAAAGGGTACTCCATCCAACGTCGTACAAAACGCAAATTTGATAATCAAACCAAGCTTGCTGCCTAGACCTACACTAGCAATCGTTCACGAACGACTATCCGCTCGTGTAGTTCTGTAAGGTAGACTTTATTGAGATATATATCACCTTCAGCTTTCAGTTTGTTCAAGGCTTACGGCTCTATGTACATTAATCGATATGCCACCTAATTCACGCGCAATTGTAAATCTCATAGGAGTGCATGTAGAGGCATATATAGATCTGAGTGTGACATAGCTAGGTATATGTGCAGACCCTGCTAGCCTTTCCCTGTAGATGCCATCACCTATGCCATTCCGTAGAAACCAAGTCATATGCTGGCGCTTTTTATTCGTGTCTAGCTACTTAGTTGCAAAAGCCACCTCAAGATCCTGTACCATTGCTCTTTCATGTAAGACTATCTCGTCACATTCAATATCGTTCTCGCCCAGCTCGTTCTCGTAACCAATATTTCGAGGAACTGATACCAGCCGCATCACGCCCAAATTCTAACTCTATTATCGATGCGATGTATAGTCACATCCTCATTCGTCACGACCTAACGTGCATCATGGCCTTCGAAGCTAGGGAGCTTGATCTCAATAACATCCGTCATGTCGTCCTTGGCCATGAGGAGCATGCTATCTGCAGCGACAGTTCCATTGGGTCTGAAAACACGATACTCGGTCCGAACGGCGGCTGAGTCTTTGCTTTTGCGGAGTAGGAGGGAGTTTTGCGCTGCTATATACGAGGGGGGGGGGGAGGGGGGGGTTGACTGTTCCTGCTTCTTGTTTGGCTCCTGACGAGATACGCGCTCCAGATTTTTCGGCTTCGTCTTTACTAGCACCCTTGTCGAAAGCAGGCTGAGATAGTTAGTTTATAATCAAGGCCATAGTCAGATTCGTAGCCAGTCAAATCCGTAATGCAAAATTTGTATAGAATGACGTACAATAGGAACGTGTACATCGTTTGCATTGATGGTGATAATTAAGGAGTGACTTCCACGGCATGATAGTGAAAACGGTGGGGTGAGGAAAGGGGGTTGTGGCAGCGAAGGTGCCTTTATTGTTTTTGTTGCTATTGTGGTACGGGTGAATTGAGAGACCGATAGAAAAGGGTAATGGAGGTCCGTTGCCCTGGAATCAAGAATAAGCACATTGCGCGCATCAAGGTATCTGGGTATATTAGTAAGAATAAATCTCTGGCTACAAACGAATTGACAATAATCGACCGTTGCCCGCCAACGTCAATGGGAAATGGGACTAGGTACTTTAAAACAGTGAAGTGCAACACCGCCAGGGATTTTCATAGAGAACTAAAGATTCCGGATCCTCCATGGCATCATCCTTTCGTCCAAATGCTTCATTTTCCTTGATGGTGAATTCCACATCCTGAACTGTTTCACGCAATGATCTATCCTCATCTTCTGGTTTGTTTATTGTGTCATGATCTTCAACTTCAACACCCAAGATATACTAGTAGCTTCCGGATTTAATATCTGTTGTGCGCTGAACCAACTCGCCATATGTTTCTTTCTGGCCTTTATCTGTAGTGGGATTTAGAGTTCAGGGTTCTTCTCCTTAAAAGAGTTTATTATTACTGCCGGATAATTCGCCCGTGTTTCTATCCAAGCGCTGCAGTACCAAAACCAGAGCCGCCAGCATGGTGGTTTTGGGTGTAACTAAAAAGTAAAAGATACCTGGAATACTTGTAGAAGGTTAAAGCGGAATGAAGAGGGTTCACAACATGTTGTAGGGTAAATGTGTAGCCTGCAATGTTAGAGCGTGTTGTTGGTGTTATGGATGGAGCGAGTGGTTCAGGAGAGAAAAAAAAGGAGATTGAAATGTAATTTGCAGGTTCGAACAAAGGACTCTCGCATGCAGTTAATGCGAGATAAAAACAAACGGAAGTATTACCACTAGGCCACTGCTTCCTAAATTGGGCCAACCTAGGTAGACGTGACGTGTTGAAAATGGACGCGTTGAGACACGTCACGACAAAGGACTGGAAGATAAGATCATCAAAGCCAAAATTGGCAAAAGGAGAACTCACCCTAATTGATCAAAACAGCAAATTAAAAAACATGATTTAAGAAGGAATTGCTAGAAAAGTAAGCAGAGAATATTAAAAAGAATATATAAAAAGAAATTACAAAAAAGCACCTACGGGGTGACTTCTTAACCGCCGCAGGCCGAGAAACCCAATGTGTGGATTTTATCTCACTGTCGAGTCACCAGTCGGGTACCATCTCAAGGAGTCATGAATATTCAATCGTTCCCCCTCCGGCCTTTCTGGCTCCAGCTGATAATTCAACGTACTAATTGGGCTTATAAGGTCCTAACCACACACTTCTGGTTTGGGAACTTCCATGTACCTAGGTACCTATACGTACCAATGGTCTAGCACAAATTCACGTTTCTCAGCAACCTGCCCTACATTTAATTTCTGCATTCATATCCATCTTTTTGAGTATGTTATCTACAAGTGTAGAAATGTAATGCATTGAAGCCATCGTAGATTCTTCGACATCAACATTTTAAACCAACCAACATATTACTCAACAAAGCCGCGATGTGTCAAGACCAAATACCTTCATCTCCTCAATTCTTTTGACTATATTTTTACTTCAGAACACCATCCCCATGCCGTCACTGGCAACATAGCTGCTTCTCAAACTGCTGGTATTATTCCAGAAATGACCTAACCTCTAACTAACATGTCTCATAAGCACGCCCCGTCGTAATCGCCTGTTCCTTGAGTATCTGTACCTTGAATTCTTCTTTCCAGCACATCACGTAGATTGCCCGAAGTTCCGTCTGGTAGTCTAGTCTGCCTCTCACCTAGTGCTTTTGGATATTGTGTATCGTCGATAATTGGCGATGCAAAATGCCGCAAAGATTAAAATTGAATATTGCTACAGGGAAAATGTGTGATTGCATTAATGTGTTGTGTGTTATTGAAGGTTGACGACCTTTAGAAGTGGCTGCAGGAAGTGAATGTGGGTTACATGTCTTGCTGATGCCCGCGGCACCCATAGCAAGGCCCCACCACGGAACCTGTATAGAAATGAAGTTATCTATACATATGCATAGTAGTAAAAGGAGCTGCTGGAAAAACGAAATATTCGGTTTGCTTCAAGAATGGAGTAATTTTTCCAATGCTAGACCAATACCGTCCAGATAGTTAAGCCTTGTAGACTCTGCTTCGTTCATTTCAAATCAACATGATTCATTCTGTACTTTGCCCTCCTATTCCATACGCATTCCGGGCCATATACTCACCCCCGGCTCATCAACGATCAATTGCTCTCCATCCCATCGCGGACCACCAGGATATACAAAACCCTCGTCAATCGTTCTCCCCATGTGCATATCCTCCGATACGAGCATGCCTGTGTGTAAACGTGGTCAGCACAACATTCCCGGAGCTTTAAATATTAAATCGATTGAGGGGTGGTACCGGGAGACTCGTGGGACATGTCCTCAGGGATCTTGATGCCCTTTGGCAGCGTATCACTAGTAGAGTCACTCTCGACTTGGATCTGCGCGCAGGTTGGATACATCTGTGCGTATAAAGTTCCATTGAATGTTACGGCCTCGCATCCGAACCAAATCATATCCATTCGCAGCACTGTGGTATCTCTGTTAATTGTTGGGTTCCTGGAAGTAGCTCCGGAAGTGACAATATAAGTTGAGAACCTAGTAATGGTATGAGAAAAGGAGTGCTTACAATACTGCCCCTTCGGTGTCTGGGGAGGGATTGTGAGTTCAAACTAACACTCATGAATTAGTCCACCTCATTTGGAAATTGTACACTTGGATTCGTGAAAAAACGTACCAATGGGGGCAGCTTCCCATCATTAGCTGGAAGCCAGAGAAATACGTCACCCGGCTCAGGCACTTCCCTGCGCACAACTCCCAGCGTATATATCTTGACCCACTCGCCCGCGCCATCATATTCATGCACGTCTTGCCCATCGGGTACCTTAGACAGGTGGGCAACTACAGGCCCCCAGTGCGGTATGTCCATAACATGAGGAGTGTCGCATGTGCCTCGACCCTCGGGGCAGTTGAGAAAGTGTTCGCTCTTCCATTCGGAAGGTTCATAACGCTGGTGTGCGAACGCGATTTTGTCTCCAGCTCGCACTGTCAGGACATCGGTTCTGTTGGCATGGCTCATGTGGTCCCGTCCGCAACGGATTGACTCGGGACGATCGATTGGCCATGTTGGGAAGTTGTATAAGCGAAAACTTGTCGGATTGTCGATGGTACGGCCAATGTCATCGTATGGTGTTGTTTTGTTACTCGTAAAGTTAGAGACACACCGTATAAGTCAGTTAGGAGATGCTAATTACCGAATATAGCGAAGCGGCTCCTGCCATTCGCCGTTAAGTGCTATACGAACGAAAGTGGCTTGTGATATCTTGTTAGACTGTTGTTTCCTGACATGCAGAGAGAGTCATTAGACATACTATGACCCTGTACTAAAGGGAATATGGCCGCAGCGGCGGCAATAACCACCTTAAGGGGTGTAGGTGCCATGGTTTAAGAAGTGTGATGAAGTAGTATAAGGGCTTCTTTGTCACCTCGTGGCCTTGGCTGTTTTGCATGAAAGTT